CATACGCACATGCCCTCAGACGTACGGGGGCCGTGACACATACATACACACATGCCCTCAGACGTACGGAGAAACGTACAAACGCACAGACTGGGGAGAAAATGTCACCCACCCACAAACACAGGCCAGGCAAACACTATGCATGACATGTACCCACATACATATGTAAATTTGTGTGTGAGCCTCCAAGACACTCACACCTGACCACCCAGAAAGCGGGCAGCTGAGACCTGATGGAGAGCAGGAGCCCCCCCCACACACACACTGCAGAAACTCTGCAGAGACCGGCTGAGCCATCCTAGCGGGTCCTGTGACCATGGGCGGCCCCATCTTCCTCGGCATCTCACTTCTCTCCACTGCCAGAAGGGGTGGTGACGGTCCCTAGCCCCTGGGCCGTGGAGAGGATGAAATGAGTTACAGTGCCTGGCATGCATCTGCGCCGCAGGCCTCTCCCCTTCAGAAGCCCTTGCCCCTCCCAGGCCTCAGAGCTGGTCCTTGCTCCTCCATCCTCCCTGAGCTTGCTTCCCTTCTCACCCCTGCTCAGTCCCCAGGGGCCAGAATCCAGGCTGGGTCTGGCTGTCCTGTGGTTCTTTAGGGCAAAGGGCTGACGCCAGGCAGCAAGACCCCCCTGGGTCCCACCTCTATCCCAGTTGTTGCCCATGGGCCTTGGGCGCCTCCCTCTGCCCCAGTGCCCTCTGCCTGAGATTCTTGGCAAGTTTCTGGGCAACCTCAATATCCCTTCCTCCCAGCTCCACCCAGCTCAGCCCCCAGGGAGCTGCCTAGAACAGGGCGAAGAGCAGGGCCCTGGAATCATGAAGGCCTGGGATTCAGCCTCTTCCTCACCACCGCCCATCCAGGCTCACCTGGCCACCAAGCCTTAGTGCTGTCTCCAGAGGCCTCTGTCTGTTCATCTGTTTGTCTGCCCTGGGGAGGGGTGGTCCTCTCCCAAGCTCCCATTCACCTGCTTCTGCCCCCACTCTGACTCTTCACACTTTCTTTCCGTCTTCAAATATTTGCTGAGTACCTATTATGTGCCAGATCCCATGATGAGCCCTGGGGCCACCCCCCTGCCCGAGGGGGCATGATAATCAAAGAGGAGAAACAGGGGCACCTGGGTGGCGCAGTTGGTTAAGTGGCTGACTCTGGGTTTCAGCTCAGGTCGTGATCTCAGGGTCATGAGATCAAGCCCCGCATCAGGCTCCCCGCTCAGCAGGGAGGCTGATGGAGATTCTCTCTCCCTCTTACTTCCCTCTCGTGCTCTCTCTCAAATAAATAAATAAATCTTAAAAAGAAAAAAAAAAAAAAAGGAGGAGAGACAGAGGATTCACCTACAGCCAGGCAAATGACCTTAGGGCCTCTCATTCGTGCAGACCCCTTCCAAAGCCCTGTCCTGAAGTTTGGATTTGTGATTTTATATCCTTTTTCCTAAAGAGCTGCGCCTCTACACGTCAGCTTCACAGCTCCATGAAGTGTGGTTCTGTCCCTGGGGGGGGACAAGCAACAAACCTGTAAATGAACGTGTCTAATTGCAAGTGTGTAAAAATCTAGGAAGAAACGCAAGTCTGATGGCAGAAAGTAATGATGGGGGTGTGTGTCTTAGGTGGAGAGGAGTAGTTAGGGAGGGCCTCTGTGCGGAGGTGACAAGCGGAGGCCTGAAGGGTGAGAAACAGCTGGCCAGGTAAGGAGCACATGGAATAACAGAGGTAAAGTGTTTCTTGGAGCCTCAGTTTCCCATATGTGAGGTGGGGATGGCAGTCACAGCAGGATGGCCTGTGAAGGGTAAGTGGCAGGTGCCCAGTATGGGAACACCACACAGTAGGACATGTGTGGCTCAGAACCCCTAGCTGAGCTTGGCACCACCCTTAATCAGCTTTTGTGCCCTCGGGAGGGACAGGCATGGCTGGCTACCCTCTCTCCCCCCCCCACCCCCCAATAGCTGGGGCCGCCTGTGCCAGGGCCAGCCCGGGGGACAGGAGCTGAGATCACTGGGCCTTTGCTCTCTGAGCTCCACCCTGGGGAGAGGGAGGGCAGCCGGGCTGGGTGAGAAGAGACACTTTGTTCCATCACTGAGGCTAAGACTCCTGGCTCCTAAGAGAGAAGAGGCTTGGCGAGCTAGATACCTCAGTTTCTAATTATTGAGGGGGTTGAGTGTCTGGACTCCTGGATCCAAGCGAGGAAGGCACTGGGGCCCTGGACTCCGGGGTCCTAAGGCAGAGGAGCCTGGGACAAGGACTCGCATTTGAGCGGGGGCCGGGGACCAGCAGGGGGCGCGGGGAGTTGGGCTCCCTGCTGTGTTTACAACGCACGCAGGTTCCCAGGCCTTTCTGGGTGGGAGGTGGGGCCCGTGGCCACACCCCGGGCAGGCTCTGCCCCTCCCAGCCGGTTTATGGCCCCAGGCTTCTGCTGGCACTCCCCACTCTCAGCCCTAGCCCAGCCCGCAGCTCAGCCTGGGGGAGCTCAGAAGAGGTCTGGGAGGGGTGAGTGCACTGTCTGCTAAGAGACAGGAACGGGTCGCGCTTTAAAACCCCAGGTCCTGGAAGGGAGGGGAGACACCTTCTGGGGGATGAGGCAGAAGCCAGGCAAGGTCCTGAGTGGGCTTCAGGAGAGAAGAGTCTCCAGAGCAGAGGGCACCGTCTCCACCAAGGGGGGACAACAGTAGCTTGTCCAGGGCCTGGGTGACAGTACAAGGACCCCGGAGGGAAGATCACCAGGGACCCTGAAGTGTGGGGAGTCGGGCGTTGTCCAGGGCAAGTTTTTGAGGGCCATAGCTGGAAACCCAGCTTCCAGAGCCCTGGGAGGGAGACCAGCGTTTAAGTAATGTCTCTGGACCCAGAGATCTGGGTTTGAATTCTGCGCGGCCACTTTTGATGCAAGCTTCAGCTCCTTACTGAACACCTCTGAGCCTCAGTTTCTCCTGTAAAATGGGGATGCTACCGATAACAGTTGAAACGTGAATGGAGGCAGTCGGGTTCTCGGGGTGAGCAAGCACTAACTGAGAAAGTTCTTAGCGTGGGTGTGGCAGAGTGAGCTCAAGGCTAACGGCAGAGGCGAGGGCAGCTGTTCCAGGCAGGGTAGTGGGGCTGGCCCGTGCGGTCTAAGCCAAGTGGAGAGGCCCGAAGGCCAGGGGACCCAGCTGGGGAGCAGTGGGACCGACTTGTGGGGATCCCACAGAGGAACAGGGAGGCAGCTGGAGCTTGGAGGGGGTTCCACAGCCAGATCCGAGGGACCAGGAGGGGGCAGGATTGACTCCTCAGTTTGAAGTAAGGCTAGGATTATGAACTGGGTTCCGGAAGAGAACTGGGCTTGAGACCAGGATCCTGGGACACCACCAGGTAGACGGGAATGGGTGGGCTGAGGGCTGAGCTCTCCCAAATACTGGGGGAGGGGAAGGGCCTGTGGGTGATGACGCCTGGGGCCTTGAGAAAGAGGTGAGATAGGGGGCCTGAACCCCTGGGTCCTGAGGGAGGTGGGACCTAGTTGGGCTCCACACCTCTCAGAGAACCTCAGCGTCCTGGGCCCAAGGAGAGCCAAGTGGAGACGGCTACCTGAATTCTTGGGTCCCTGGAAGGAAGCAGAGGGGTGGATAGACTCCGGGGTTGTAGGAGAGGCGTGGAGCTAGGAAACCAAGAAGAGTCCCACGTAGGAGACACCACGGAGAAGAGGAGTCTGGGGCCTGGACTCCTGGGTCTGAAAAAGGAAGGGGATGGGGCCCTAGACTCCACCCTTGGGTCCATCCCTGCCTGATGGGGGCTCCCCACTCGCCCGCAGCCTCGCGGCTCACACACAGCATGGACCTGCGCACGATGACACAGTCGCTGGTGACTCTGGCAGAAGACAACATGGCCTTCTTCTCGAGCCAGGGCCCCGGGGAGACAGCACGACGGCTGTCGGGGGTCTTCGCGGGGGTTCGGGAGCAGGCGCTGGGGCTGGAGCCGGCCCTGTGCCGCCTGCTGAGCGTGGCGCACCTCTTCGACCTGGACGCCGAGACGCCGGCCAACGGGTACCGCAGCCTGGTGCACACGGCCCGCTGCTGCCTGGCGCACCTGCTGCACAAATCCCGCTACGTGGCCTCCAACCGCCGGAGCATCTTCTTCCGCACCAGCCACAACCTGGCGGAACTCGAGGCCTACCTGGCCGCCCTCACCCAGCTCCGTGCCCTAGCCTACTATGCCCAGCGCCTGCTGGCCACCAACCAGCCCGGGGGGCTCTTCTTCGAGGGTGACGAGGGGCTCATTGCTGAGTTCCTGCGCGAGTACATCACTCTGCACAAAGGCTGCTTCTACGGCCGCTGTCTGGGCTTCCAGGTGAGCCCCCCACTCCCCCCAGCCCCGCTCCTCCGGACCCACAGTGAAGGTGCCAGGTGGCCCCCCTACCTGGCCCGACAGCATGGTGGGATTACCACAGTGGTATCACTGGACTCCGGGGACAGTAGATTCAGAAAGGGGAAGCCGTCTAGGCTTAGGTGGCTGCACGGGGTTGTGGGGGGGGGTCTCAAACTTGTGGCCCCTGCGTCAATTCCACCGTGTAGTAAGACATCATTAACTTGCATAGCTCTTTGCGCCAGGATCCCCACACTCAGATTTGTCCACTCTTTGCAGTGACCTGTCTGTCCTCTGAAATCATTTGAGACCCCTCAGGAGGGTGGTTAGTACTGTTCTCAAAGTCCTCTTTATAAGAGCACACCCCATTTAGTCACCCCGCCCCCAGAGGCATGGGCAGGAGGGAGGGGGCTAGCTCCATTTTAGAGGCTCAAGGGACTCTGGTCGCGGCTGCTCCATGGGACCCCGGTCGGCCTGGGCTTTCTGGCTCACCTCGGGAGCTCTCACTTGACTCAGGATTTTCCAGCCATGGGGAAGGCCAAGGAGCACTTCCGAGTTGGTGACCATGAGGGAGACCCGGTGGTGGCCCCACCCCAGCCACCCCCAGGGGGGTACCATTCACCTTAACACCGAGAGGAAAGTAGCCTGGGAGCCTTTGGACTCAGAGCAAAAGTAGTTTGGGGGCTCAGAATTGGGGAGGGGGGAGGTGGGAGGGGGTCCTGGGGACTCAGAGCAGAGACCCAACATGCTCCTGTGTGAGGTCAGTGCAGGGTCCCCCGGGCCCCAGCCCCACATCGGGGAACCCCCCCGCAGGAGTATCTGGAGCTGCGTGACTCTGCAGTCCCCCAGATTCTCTCCGGGTCCGCCCCACCCCCACCCCAGGTGGGCTTGGCAGTCTCTCGGCCTTCCTTCCCCACTTCCCACAGAGCAGCCTGGGTGTTCCTGGGAACTTCCCTTCACCTAAGCTGACCCCCCACAAATATTGATCAGCCCAGCTGGGACAGCTGGCTCCTCCCTGTGTCCCGGCCATGACCTTGGAGTCCCCGGAGAGTGATCCTGTGGCCACCCAACCCAGCATTCCAGGCAAAATGGCCAGGCACCGCTGTGCTCTCTGGCCCACTGGGCCCCTGGCCAGGGGCAAGGTCATGCCTGACAGCTCTTCTCTGAGGGCCCAGCTGCTATGCTACGGGACAGCTATCCCCTGTAAAATGTCAGCCCCCACAGGGCAGAAGCCTCCCACATGGGGCTCTAACTCAGCACCCGGTCCCCCCTCCCCTGCCCCCTGCTCCCAAGCCTAGCGCCTAGCACAAAGTAGGATGTAGGCCTGTATTTGTTGAATGAACAAAAGAACCCTGCTGGCCCCTTGCCCAGCTTCCTATGGCTTTTTTTTCTCTGATCTTGTCTCCCCATTGTCTTTTCTTAGCTGGCCTGGCTCCTCCCTCAGATGCTGTCTCCCCATTTGGCTGCCTTTCTGCAGCAAGATCTCTGGCCCTGTCTGTCTCTGACCATCTCCTGTCTGTCTTCCTGCCGCCCAGGAACTGGTCCCCATCCGCCTGGCCTCATCTCTGTCCTCGCTGACTTTCAGGAAATCCCTGCATCACCTTAATCCCAGCCCTCTATGGCTCCACCCACGTCTGGAACACATCCACATTCCTCAGGCCCTCCATGAGCCCCCTCTGCTTCCCTGGCCTTGGCTGCCACCCCTCTCCCCTCATTCACTCTGCTCCAGCCGCACAGGTTATCCCCGCCAAGCACAGGCTGCCTCAGAGCCTTTGCACTTGCCACGGCCTCTGCAGGGAGCACCCTTCCCTCACTTCCTCTGGATTGCTCCTCCTCCAGCACCCTCCCGGTTACCCATCTAAGTAGCCTGACCCCCAGTCGTCAGTCTGTGTCCCCTCCACCTACTGTTTTTTCAAATTTTCAAAGCACTGGTCACGAAGCATTCCTTAACATCGAACATATGCCTTTATTTGCTTCCTGTCGCCTAGAGCAGTGCCTGGCACACAGTAGGAGCTCACTAAATGTTTGCTGGATGACCACGTCTGTCCCCAAACCACGTCTCTGCCCCTCACCCCTGCCCGCCTCCAGTCCCTCCTGGGCAGTGGGTGACCCAGCGGCATCTCTCCACAGTTCACGCCCGCCATCCGGCCGTTCCTGCAGACCATCTCCATCGGGCTGGTGTCCTTCGGGGAGCACTATAAGCGCAATGAAACAGGCCTTGGTGAGTCCTGGCCAGATCCTGCCTGCAGACTCGCCTCCCTTCCTGTCCCTCCTCCTTCTTCCACCCCCCCAGCCCCCACTCCCACTGGGCCCCCGACCACCCCTGCCAATCCCCAGGTGTGACCGCCAGCTCGCTCTTCACAAGCGGCCGCTTCGCCATCGACCCAGAGCTGCGCGGCGCGGAGTTTGAGCGGATCATACAGAACCTAGATGTGCACTTCTGGAAAGCCTTCTGGAATATCACTGAGATTGAGGTGCTATCGGTGAGAAGGGGGCCTGATGAAGGCCCCACCAATGTTACAGGATGGGCACACTGGGGCCCAGAGACCCCATCCCAGGCCACATCAGGCCTCGGCGGGGCTCCAGGCCTGGGACAGCGCGTGATGGTAAAGGGGGTGGCGATTGGAGAGGAGGCACAAGGGGCTCCAAGCAGCTCCTCCCCAGCGCCCCTCCTGTTCCCTCCCACCAGTCTCTAGCAAACATGACATCAGCTACGGTGAGGGTAAGCCGCCTGCTCAGTCTGCCACCAGAGGCCTTTGAAATGCCGCTGACTGCTGACCCCAAGCTCACGGTCACCATCTCACCTCCTCTGGCCCACTCGGGCCCCGGGCCGGTCCTCGTCAGGCTCATCTCCTATGACCTGCGTGAAGGACAGGTAGGAGATACAGAGCCAAGGAGCACCAACAGCCCCACTCCCCAGAGGCCCTCCCACCTCTCAGTGCTTACCCCTGCCCCGCCCCCATCCTGTCTCTCTGAGCACATCCCTTTGGTGGGGTGAGGCCCCGGCAGGCCACCCCAGCCTCACCCAAATCCTCCTCCCTCACCACCCCCCGCAGGACAGTGAGTTGCTCAGCAGCCTGGTGAAGTCCGAGGGGCCCTGGAGCCTGGAGCTGCGGCCACGCCCCCAGCAGGCACCCCGCTCACAGTCCCTGGTGGTGCACATCCATGGCGGTGGCTTCGTGGCCCAGACCTCCAAATCCCATGAGCCCTACCTCAAGAGCTGGGCCCAGGAGCTGGGCGTCCCCATCCTGTCCGTCGACTACTCCCTGGCCCCCGAGGCCCCCTTCCCCCGAGCGCTGGAGGAGTGCTTCTACGCTTACTGCTGGGCTGTCAAGCACTGTGCCCTCCTCGGTGAGCCCCCGCCCCTCACTGTCACCCGCTCCCTGCTCCTGCCCCCACCCGGGGCTGCGCGGGGAGAGAGAGCTTAGGCCTCAGTCTTGCACCCCCTGCCTCCCTTACCATCTCCTCCTCCCCAGCTCTCTGCCACCTGTTTACCCCCTCCTGCCCCACTGCTCTCCAGACCTTCCGTCTCAACCACTTCCTCCTTCTGCTTCCTGCCCCCCCACTCTAGCCCTGACACCCCATCCCCCCACCTCTCCATCCCCGAGGACCTTTTCTCTCGTTTCTCCACCCCCTGTCCTGCACTGCCAGCCTCCCGGCCCACGCTCCAGACCATTCTTCCAGCTCCTCTGACCTCCTGCTTCTGACCTCTCCAGAGGCACAGGGCAAGGTGGGGGCGTGCCCCAGGGCACAGGGATGTGGCTCTTTTGTATGGTCAGCTGAACCCCGCCCTTCCAGCTCCAGGCCTCAGCTGCCCCTCCCTCCCGAAATGGGCCCTGGTCTCCCCTTTCCCACCACCTGTCCCCCTTGTTTCTGACCTCCAGCCTCTCAAGCTTCCCAGAGCCTCCTGATCTCCACATCCTCAGTCGGCCTGATCCCCGACCACTGTCCCCCAAACCCCTGCCTCAGTTCACCAATCTCTAAAATTGCAGTTGGCTAGACCTTGGGATTGGGGCCCCCATACCCCACCTCTGAGAGTCCAGTGCTCCTGGCTCAGAGCTTGAGCTCCTCCCTGCCAGGCTGACCAAGCCCCCTCCAACGCAGGCTCAACAGGGGAACGGATATGCCTCGCAGGGGACAGCGCAGGTGGGAACCTCTGCTTCACCGTGTCCCTCCGGGCAGCAGCCTACGGGGTGCGGGTGCCAGATGGCATCATGGCAGCTTACCCAGCCACGATGCTACAATCTACCGCCTCGCCCTCCCGCCTTCTGAGCCTCATGGACCCCCTGCTGCCCCTCAGCGTGCTCACCAAGTGTGTCAGCGCCTATGCTGGTAAGGCCGCCACACACACAGCTGGGGGCCTGGGGGGGACTTGGGTGCTGGAGTCCTGCAGGGATGGGGGCTGGCGCCCAGGCTCCCGGGGCTCGGGAAAGGAAATCTGAGACTCCTGGTCCCCACTGAAGCCATCAGATATCCTTGGGTCCCCGGGGGCACCGAGGCCTGACGTTCCAGGTGTTGAGACTGGGCCTCAGCCCTCCACACATACTCCACAGGTGGGGAGACAGAGGAGCACTCGGACTCAGACCAGAAGGCACTGGGCGTGATGGGGCTGGTGCGGCGGGACACAGCCCTGCTCTTCCGAGACCTCCGCGTGGGCGCCTCCTCCTGGCTCCACTCCTTCCTAGACCTGAGTGGGCACAAGTCCCACACGAACTCAGTGCCCACGGCAGGTGAGTGAAGCCCTCCCCTCACACACCCACTCAGGGTGGACAGCAGGGACAGCCGGATACACCGAAAGTCCTGGGGGGAGGCAAGTGGCTGTGTCCTCGGGTGCTCAGGGAAGCAGAGATCACCTTCTGGCTCTAACCCCCTATTTAGCCCTGAGGACTACCACACAGCCTTGCTTTTCCACGACACTCCACATCCTAGAATTTCCAGGACTTCTGGTCCGCCAGGTCATCTCAGAACTCCTAGGAACTATAGGGGGTAGCCTTCCAAACAGCCCATCCCAGAAAGGAACCCCAGGAAATAACTCAGAAGGCCTGCCACATGTGCCAATTTTTGATCCCAAGAATGCCACTCAAATCCCTTGGGCCCTCAGGGGGGGGAGTCCAGCCCTCCTAGATTCTTCCCAGACTTTTAACAGAGACACATGGGGGTAATGCCCCACTCCGGGGGCTGGCCTAGGAGCCTGGGGTCGGAGGGATCAGCAGACTGACTGCACAGACCTCGGTCAGTGGGAGAGATTTCCAGCCTCGGGCAGGGCAGGATCCTCATGCAGCCAAAAATCACTAACATCCAGGGATCTATTTTTTCCCCACAATTTTTTTTTAACATTTTAATGATTTTAAAGTACAGCCAGCTCATTTTCTATCTCCAGCAAGCCAACAGTATTTTCTGAATAATAGTGCGTGTTCAGAAGAAGACAGATACCATTCCTATTCAGAAAATTATTCCAACTGAGTGTGTCTTACTTTAACTTTTTAAATTTTAGGATATTCAAATGGATGCAAATACACACAAAAACAAAAGGGATTTGAACCGTGGACCATTGAACACTGGGGCTTTCCCTAAAGGTTAGAGGTGACAGGTACAGTCCCTAGAGGCCCACAGTCGAGCAACCTACGGGGTGATGGGGGCCAGGTACCCTATCTGTGAGCCTTGCTTTGCTCCTCCATGAAATGAGGATGGTAAGAGGACCTGCCTCATTAGGTTGTTATAAGGACTTCATGCAACTATTTGTGCCAAGCACCCAGCACAAACCCGACACCCAGTAGGTGCTCCTAGCAGATGCCGGCACCCCTGACAGGCTGCGCCCCGTGACTCCCCTCACTGGTTCCATTCCGGTGACCCTCTTGGGTCACGGGGTACTTATGCAGTTACTCTCACATCGTCTTGCATCTTGCCTTCGTGGATTTATATAGACGAGTTAAAAAAGATACCTGCAAAAGGCAGGGTCGTGGCCCCAGTGGTAAGCAGCATAGGTCGGATCAGATTAATGGAGCGGAGGCTAAGGTGGGCATTCCACGCAGCCCGAAGCATGTCTTCGGCCTCAGCGGGGCACTTGCTTGTCGGGTCACTCAAAGGTAAGGGATAAAACTAAAGAACATGAAGGAATGTGGGGAGCAGATCTGTGTGGCTGCAGGTGTGGGATCCCTGGGGATCGAATAGGCTCCCAAGACTCTCTTTAGCTCCCTGTGAACGTGGCCTGCTCACTATTCCACTGTTGACACCGTGGCCCTCACAGGTTGGCTGGGCCTCGGGCTGGGGTCAGGGAGGCAGCTGGAACGAGGCACCGGGCCTAGTAATAAAACATGAGGATAGCGTGTGACCTCCCAGGGGGCAGCAGTGCCTCATCCCGAGTCCTCACCACCTCCTATGAGGTAAGGACTATTTTTATCCCCTCTTTGTACAGTGGAGGAAACTGAGGCTCCCAGAGGTAAACTGACTTGCATTTCACCCTCCCGGTTACCACACACACACACACACACACACACACACACACACACACACCCCTCCACGTGACTCCTCCCACCTCCCCCTTGGAGTTGCAGCGTGGGGCACCTGGGGCTCCCCACCCATCCCGGAGGACGGGAGTCTGGGGGGGAACACTCGGCCTCCACAGCCCTAGCGCGCAGCTCCTCCTGCAGAGGCCACTACCCTCCCGCCTGACCTCTCCTGCCCGCCACTCACATACCCAGTCCACAGAGCCAGGCTGATCTGTGGCCCCCACTGGCCACCTGCCCCTGCTCCTCTTGCAGAGCCAATGCGGCGCAGCGTGTCTGAGGCAGCCCTGGCCCAGCCCGGGGGCCCACTGGGCACAGACTCCCTCAAGAGCTTGACCCTACACAACCTGAGCCTAAAGGACAGCTCTGAAACGTCAAACAGCCCGGAACTGTCAATGTCTGCGGAGACACTTGGCCCCTCCACACCCTCCGACGTCAACTTCTTGGTTGGCCCAGACCACGCACCCGAGGCCGCTAAGGCACAGGATGAGCTGAGCACCAAGGACAGAGGCTGCAGCGCGCGCGCGGCCTTCCCTGAGGGTTTCCACCCTAGGCGTTCCAGCCAGGGCCCCGCCCGGATGCTCCTCTGCGACTCGCCCATCGTCAAGAACCCCTTCATGTCGCCGCTGCTGGCGTCTGACGGCATGCTACAGAGCCTGCCACCCGTGCACATTGTGGTGAGCGCCAGACTGGGACAGTGCGGGGCGGGGAGCAGGGGCGGGCGGGGCCAGGTGCACCTGCGGAAGGGAGCTCGGGAGCGAGAGAGCGGAGGGGTGGGGGTGGGGGTGGGGTTAGGTAGCCTGGCTGCCAGCCTAAGGGAGAGGCGTGCCACCAGGAGGGAATGCCCGGGGACGGGAGGGCTGCAGGGGAACCAGGGCTGCTATTTCCTCTCGCGATCTTGCGGAGCCCTGCAGTCGGGGAAGGGGAAAGAGGTGGTGGGTCTAGGGGGGGAGGGGGTCGGAGATGCTGGGCCGAGGCTCAGTCTCCCACTCCCCGCCCCCCTCCCCTCGTTCCTCTGCCCCGTGCCCCACCCCCGCCGTCCCGCAGGCCTGCGCGCTGGACCCCATGCTGGACGACTCGGTCATGTTCGCGCGGCGGCTGCGCGGCCTGGGCAAGCCCGTGACGCTGCGCGTGGTGGAGGACCTGCCGCACGGCTTCCTGAGCCTGGCGGCGCTGTGCCGCGAGACACGGCAGGCGGCCGCGCAGTGCGTGGAGTGCATCCGCCTCATCCTCGCTCAGCCCGCCCCGCCCACCGCGCAGCCCGTCTGAGTCCCAGCCCGAGCCGGGCCACGCGGGCAGCTGGGGCTGCGGGGGGGCGACACTAAAGGCCTCTTGTTCCCATCTGAGCCGACCTCCGTGGTGAATGCGCCCCCGGTTAGGCGGCGGGTACGTCCCCCCCAACCCCACCCCCGGTCGAGGGGCTCCCGATCCCCTCCAGCCTCTCCGTCAGGCCGGGCGCGGGAGGGGCAGGCTGTGCCTTAAGGTGGGAGGACGGCCGGGGGCGGGGGGGGGGGGCGGGGCGGGGGCCCAAAGCCGAGACCCTGGCCTGAGGGGGGGGGGGCGCACACCAACGAGTCTCCGTAGACAGCTGGAGCTGCACTCCATCATCGCCTTCTACTGCTGCTGTGACCGCCGCAGGGTGGGGGCCTGGCCCTACCTGGCAAGACGGTTTGTTTTTGTTCCTTTGTAAATAAAAGTATTTAATTAGTTTGGCCTCTTGCAAATAGGGTCGGGTGTCGCCCACCAGGGGGCAGCATCGGACTCTGCTGCTGGGATCGGAGCAGCCTGGCAGTA